TTTTTTTTTTTTTTTTTTTGGCTTTTATCAATATATTTTCATGTTGGCAGAGGTCACATTAGATTTTTTTCACAATACCACATTTCCTGAATTCTAGTTATCACAGCAGGTTTTTCTTTAAAATCACTGATGAACTTTATCATTAATGAGCTCTAAAAATCAAGGGAATATAATTAAGTAGTAATTGCTAGAGAAAAGATATGGTGTATAAAGACAGTTGAATTTGAGAGTAGCAGCTTTGGCTCCCTGCTCCTCACTTGTGTGTACCTAGCTTGCTCTACCTAAGGAGGTCAGAGAAAGACTTAAATAGTGAAGAAAGAGAGCTGCATTAATTGCCTGAGAGAGGCAGGGACAAAAGATCAGGAATATATACTATACTCATATGTCCTTGGCTATACAGATTGGTAGAGGATTACTGAGGGACAGAAGGTAAAATCAGTTCCACACAGGTGAAAATTCAGGCTGAAAAAAATGTTATTTCTAGATGCACATCTTTACTTTTTCTGAATTATTCTTGTCAGATACATTAGAAAATAGAACTAGAATCCCGAAATTCATTTCCATCCTTCAGGATACTAAGGTGTGTGTGCATATTGGGGAAAGGGTGATGGACAAAAGATTTTGAGAGGTAAGGAGAAGAAAGGTATTTGTTGCAAGAAGTGGTAGGTTAGGCTGGGCATAGTGGCCTCCCAGCACTTTGGGAGGCCAAGTCCGGAAGATTGTCTGAGCCCAGGGGTTTGAGACCAGCTTGGGCAACATAGGGAGACCCTATCGCTATAAAAAATTAAAAAATTAGCTGTGTGTGGTAGCTTGCTCCTGTGGGGCTGAGGTGGGAAGATGGATTGAGCCTAGAAGTTTGAGGCTGCAGTAAGCCATGGCTATACCAGTGCTCTCTGGCCTGGGCAACAAGGCAGAATACCATCTCAAAATAAATAAAACAGTGGTCAATTATCAATTGTATCCGGGATTCAGAGATACATTCCAGAATTCTTGAGTCTTAAATTCCCAACAGCTGATGTAGTCTTAGGTCCATTTGTCATTGCATTTAATACTTACCTAATCTAAGGCTGTCATTATTTCTGGACCATAGGCCTGTAGATTTTTCCTCTATGTCCTATAGTTCTTTTGATAAAAATAGAATGCCTTATTAAAGTAAAAAATACCTTTTAAACTGGGTGTTGTGGCTCATGCCTACAATCCTAGCACTTGGGAGGTGGAGGCGAGCAGATCGCTTGCACTCAGGAGTTCGAGACCAGCCTGGGCAACCTGGAGAAACCCTGTCCCTACTAAAATTTAAAAATTGGCCAAGTGTGGTGGCACAAACCTATAGTCCCAGCTACTTAGGAAGGTTTAGGTGGGAAGATCGCTTGAGCCCGGGAAGTTGAGACTGCAGTGAGCTGAGATCATGCCACTGCACTCCAGCTTAGGTGACAAAGCGAGACCCTGTCTCAAAAAAAAAATAAAATAAAATAAATCACCTAAATAAGATATGAGATGTTACTATTTCTCTAGCATGACTATATTACTGGCTTCTTTGAGAGATAGTTGCATCTAAATATTATCTCAATTTTATCTCAAGGCCAGCACAGTGGCTCATGCCTGAAATCCCAGCACTTTGGGAGGCCAAGTGGGGCAGATCACCTGAGGTCAGGAGTTAAAAACTAGCCTGGCCAACATGGCAAAACCCTGTCTCTACTGAAAATACAAAATTAGCCAGGCATGATGGCAGGCACCTATAATCCCAGCTACTCTAGAGGCTAAGGCAAGAGAATCCCTTGAACCTGGGAGGCAGGGGTTACAGTGAGCTAAGATTGTACTGCTGCACTCCAGTCTGGTCAACAAAGCAAGAGTCCAAGTCTCAAAAAAAAAGATGAGAAAGAAACATAAATTTTGAAAAACCATAGTTTCTTCCATATACAGATTTCCTAAATCTGTCTCATTCCAACTTTTATATTTAAAATTTAATCTAAAGTTGTCTCTTAGGCTTCAGTATTATCACTAAATGGAAAACTCCCTATAGTATTTGAAGAATGGTGTTATGAAAGAACTATTAGCACTATTAAAGTATAATTGTAATTTTAGCTCCACCTAGTGGTTAACGGTTAACAGCACTAATTAGGGTCTTAGTCTTATTTAATATACTAACCAAAAACTGCACGTTAATACAAAACCGTTACAATGTAGGCTTAAAATCAGTACTCATTGGTGAAGGTACAGTGACATTTATATATAGCTAATACATCTTGGAAAGCAGTTTGGAGTTGTATGCATATATACTTGTTTGTTATTTTTTTGAGATGAAGTCTCACTCTGTTGCCCAGGCTGGAGTCCAGTGGTACAATAGCTCACTGCATTCTCCGTCTCCCAGGCTCACTCAGTCATCCCACCTCAGCCTCACAGCTACAGGCATGCGCCACCATGACCACTGATTTTTTTTTTTTTTGGAGGGGACAAGGGTAGAAATGGGGTTTCTCCATGTTGCCCAGGCTGGTCTCAAACTCCTAGGCTCAGGCAGTCTGCCCACCTTGGCCTCCCAAAGTGCCGGGATTACAGGCATGAGCCACTGTTTCCAGCCTGGAGTTGTATATTTCACCTTGTAAATGTTAACTGTTTAAAACTTTGAGAACTTATTCAAAGGAAAATAAATCCAAATTACAGAAAAAACAAATATGTTAATTATAACAACTTCATTATAGTTTAAAATGAGCTATTTAAATAGAAATACAATTAAGTAAATATGACCAAACCAATAATAAAATCTTATTCAGCCATTTAAATGATGTCTGCAAAAACAGTATTAATAAGGAAAAATGTTTATGGTGTGTTGAACAAAATTTTAAGAGGCAAATCCTACTTGAAGTAATGTCAGTAATGGCTATGTTAATGTGATAGATTGATTTTTTTTGTTTCTTTTTTAAAATGTGGATTTATTTCATAATGGAAAAATGCATACAATTATTTAGTATTTGAAGGAATAAAAGAACAGTAAGATGATACATCTATAGTACTTCAAGATATTACTTGGTTTTTATGGAGAATATTTTGCCTTTCAAGTGAAGTACGTGATTACAAGGCAGGCTGGGGTCAATTAGCAATCACTAAGACCCTGTACCCTCTCTAGAAAAACTTGGTAAAACCCTAAAAGCTGTAATTTCTGCACTTTATGCTTGCTGGTTGTACCTACAGATCAGAGGGAGACATCTGAAAATAAATAGAAATGGAACTGGAGTGAATGTTAGATGATTCTAGGTGAAAAATCATTGTTTGAAGATTGCTGTAAGCCTGCAAGTGAACCAAAAATTGTTCATTTAGGTTGAGCCTCACATGTGCATGAAGTCTTATTTCAACTTTTCTCATCCTTCATTTAAATTTTTAGTTAACAGTACAACTATAAATGTTAAATTCTATGTAAAATACACACACACACACACACACACACACACACACACAGATACATAAAGTAGTATTTCCAGAGCATAAATGACCTTTTTTTATCATCTCATTTAATTTTCTCTCAAGATTTCACTTAGTATCAACATCATGGTTAGCAGTTTTTTTAAGTAAGAACATTTGGGGGTGGGTGCAGTGGCTGATTCCTCTAATCCCAGCACTTTGATTAGAGGTATATGCTCAGGAATTTCAGACCATCCTGGGCAACATGGTGAAATCTGACCTTGTGATCCACCCACCTCTGCCACTAATTAATAATAATTTTTAAATGCATGTCTAGGCCAGGCACGGTGGCTCACACCTGTAATCCCAGCATTTTGGAAGGCCAAGGCGGGCGGATCACGAGGTCAGGAGTTAGAAGCCAAACTGGCCAACATGGTGAAACCCCGACTCTACTAAAAATACAAAAATTAGCTGGACACAGTATTTCACACCTATAGTCCCAGCTACTTGGGAGGCTGAAGCAGGAGAATCACCTGAACCTGGGAGGTGGTGGTTACAGTGAGCTGAGATTGTGCCACTGCACTCTAGCCTGGGTGACAGAGCGAGACTCCATCCCCCCCCAAAAAAAATGCATGTCCAAATTTCCCATATTATCTCAAATCCCCAATCCCAGCACTTTGGGAGGCTGAGGTGGACGGATCATCTGAGGTTAGCAGTTTGAGATCAGCCTGGCCAACAGTGAAACCCCATCTTTACTAAAAATACAAAAAGTAGCCAATGCAGTGGCACACGCCTGTAATCCTAGCTGCTTGGGAGGCTGAGGCTAGAGAATCGCTTGAACCAGGTTCACGGAGGTTGCAGTGAGCCGAGATAGTGACACTGAGCTCCAACCTGGGCAACGGAGCGAGACTCTGTCTCAAAAAAAACAACAAAAAAAAGAATTTCATTTTAGGCCGGGTGGGATGGCTCACACCTATAATCCCAGCACTTTGGGAGGCCGAGGCTGGTGGATCACCTGAGGTCAGGAGTTCGAGATCAACCTGACCAACATGGTGAAACCCTGTCTCTATTTAAAAAAAAAAAAAAAAAGTGAAAATAAATAAAAATAAAGGACTTCATTTTACACATTTTAAAAATATAAATTATGCTGACTTCTAAGGGATGTCTCCTTTGATTTTTAAATGTATATCCATAGCATCAAATAATAGACACTGGGGAGACTACAGAAGGTGGGAGTGTGGGAGATGAGTGAGGATTGAAAAATTACCTATTGAGTATATTGTTCCCTAGTCAAGTTATGGGTGCACTAAAAGCCCAGACTTCACCACTATACAATATATGCATGTAAAAAAATCTGCAGTTGTACTCCTTGAACATATAAAAACTTAAACAAATTTTTAACAAAGGAAAAAATTGAGGCCGGGCGCGGTGGCTCAAGCCTGTAATCCCAGCACTTTGGGAGGCCAAGGCGGGTGGATCACAAGGTTAAGAGATCGAGACCATCCTGGTCAACATGGTGAAACCCTGTCTCTACTAAAAATACAAAAAATTAGCTGGGCACGGTGGCGCGTGCCTGTAATCCCAGCTACTCAGGAGGCTGAGGCAGGAGAATTGCCTGAACCCAGGAGGCGGAGGTTGCAGTGAGCCGAGATCTTGCCATTGCACTCCAGCCTGGGTAACAAGAGCGAAACTCCGTCCCTAAATAAATAAATAAATAAATAAAGGCAAAAATTTTAAATCAAATTTGAAACTCATGGACAAATATACATCCATAAAATAGCCACTTCAAAGCTGAATAATTGATTCCTTTATTTATAGACTTAAAAAAAATAAATTGGCTTTTTTCCTTTGTCCAACCTTCAACAGATTGAAGAAGAGATGTTGGCTTTGCAAAATGAGCGCACAGAACGAATACGAAGCCTGTTGGAACGTCAAGCCAGAGAAATTGAAGCTTTTGACTCTGAAAGCATGAGACTAGGTTTTAGTAATATGGTCCTTTCTAATCTCTCCCCTGAGGCATTCAGCCACAGCTACCCGGGAGCTTCTGGTTGGTCACATAACCCTACTGGGGGTCCAGGACCTCACTGGGGTCATCCCATTGGTGGCCCACCACAAGCTTGGGGCCATCCAATGCAAGGTGGACCCCAGCCATGGGGTCACCCCTCAGGGCCAATGCAAGGGGTACCTCGAGGTAGCAGTATGGGAGTCCGCAATAGCCCCCAGGCTCTGAGGCGGACAGCTTCTGGGGGACGGACGGAGCAGGGCATGAGCAGAAGCACGAGTGTCACTTCACAAATATCCAATGGGTCACACATGTCTTATACATAACTTAATAATTGAGAGTGGCAATTCCGCTGGAGCTGTCTGCCAAAAGAAACTGCCTACAGACATCGTCACAGCAGCCTCCTCACTTGGGTACTACAGTGTGGAAGCTGAGTACATATGGTATATTTTATTCATTTTTGTAAAGCGTTCTGTTTTGTGTTTACTAATTGGGATGTCATAGTACTTGGCTGCCGGGTTTGTTTTTTTAACTTTTGGGGAAATTTTGAAAAGTGGAATTGATATTAAAATAAATGTGTGTATGTATGTGTGTGTATATATACATATATATATACACACACACACATACATATATATTATGCATGTGGTGAGAAGAATTGGCTAGATAGGGGATATTTTCTGAACACTGCAAAAATAAAACACAGCAAAGTGGCTTCAGTCATCACTTTTGGGTGTTTGTACCCTAAGAAGTTTCTGAAAAGATCTAAAGCCTTCCTCCATATCCCAGATTCTTATGAGCCACTCACAGCAGGCAGCATATGTTGAAATAAGTTATTACTGGTACATACCTGCATCCCCTCACCAATGTATTTGTTATTAAATTGATCTGACTTCTCAGCCTCATTTGGACTAAAAAAAGCAGAAATCCATAAACACTAAAGGACTGCATTGACTTTTTCAGAGTAGAAAACAAATTAGTTTTTTTTTTTTTCCTGAATGCGTCATAGGCTTGTGAGTGATTTTTGTCCATTTAGTTGTGCCTTCTTTGTATTTCAGTGAGATGGGGGTACTTAAGGAGATGACAAGTTATGTGGGGATTACATTAACAAACCTGTGAGCCTTCAATGGGGAAGACAGAAGGGTGAAGGGGCCCTAAAATTTCATATGGTGGGTATGTCCCGCAGCAGAGTGAGGAGATGAAGCTTACACGTCCTGACGTTTTGTTGCTTATACTGTGATATCTCATCCTAGCTAAGCTCTCTACTGCCCAAGACCCCAAACAGTACTTTTGTTTGTACAAAAACAAAGACATACAGCCAATACAAATCAAATGCCAGAGGTATTTGAATGATGCCATATTTGCAAATTGCCATCTATTGAAATTCTTATCACACTACATAAACATGATTATTGTCTCCTTTTGGCTTATGGGATTTTCTGTTTACAAGTAGAATAGCCAATTATTTAAATGTTTAGTTGCCACAGTGAACCAAGAGTCACTGAGCCAGTGACTTTACCAGCTGCTGACTGATCCTCATCACCACTGTAGATTTTGCTGCATGTGCAGGTCCTCTGTTTTTAATTGCTGTTTTCGTTGCTGCAGTACTTAACAAACTTCTAGTTCATTGAGACTTAGTGACCATTTGGCATCATGTTAACACCACACAATAGGAAACACCACTTTAACAAGTCTCAAGCCCAGTGCTAAAGTACTACTGAAAAGGAACTAGGAAGTTTGGCCAATTAAAAAAAAAGGTAAAAGTAAGTTATAGTGGTCAGGGAATCTCTTGACAAAAGCTAACACTTTTTTTCAGGGGGCACGTTTTGTTTCGTTATGTTTTGTTGTACAATGAAGGATGAACCCAATGCTAAAAAGTCAGTTGTTTTCTTGGTTTTCCATTTCTTGTATAGAAATTGAGTTGGAGGTGGGTAGGAAGCTGTATGACTTGAAGAAAAATATCCTTTTCAGTGACAAATCAAGAGTTTCTTATGAGTTACTGTCCTGCTCCCTTCCAAGTTGTCTTGAAGAATCCTTGCTGCTAACTCTGGATCCTGCTTTTCCTATAGTCAGGGGCTCCAAGGTAGAACTCTAAGTCCCTCTCAATGACACTGTTTGCCTAGACCAAACTAATGACCAATTAGTAATTAGGCTATCGCTGTTGAAGTCCTGGTTTGCTCAACCAAATTTTAAGTCTTCCCCAGGTATGTCAGTCGAATCACCATGAATCCTCACTTGTAGGAGTTTCTGAGGATTCATTTTAGGGAAACTGGAAGAAAACTAATGTTTTAATGTAAATGTTTTTAAAACCAAGATCACCATAGAGTTCACACAAAATTTTAGGCAGTGTTTGAAGAAGCACTCTGATGTGCTGTCCTTTCAGCCATGCTCCATGTCACCAGTGTTTAGGTAAACATGACACGTACTTGTCATATTAACGAAAGGGGCTTTTAGTCGTCTCAGTATCTTTTTTGCGTTCAGGTATTGTAGTGTTTTCAACAAATTGAGAAATCTACCTATTTGGTGTAAAATAAGAGAGAGCTTTAGAATTTAGTACAATGTCAAAAATATAATGGAATTTGATACCCTTAAAAATTATTCATAGATCTGGCTCCTCTGTCCTACTGGATGGAATAGGGAAGCAGATCAGTTTTGCATACAAAACGCTTTTCAAACCCACAGTGCTACTGATGGTACATTTTAAAGTCCAGTTGTGGACTTAAATAAGTCAAATTGGGTTACTGACTCCATTCAGATCACAAGTACTTACAAAAAGCCTGATTTAATACTGAATCCAAATGTTTATCAGGTAGGGTTTTGCATCTCACTTAATTGGCCACCAGTTTTACATGTAGGTGATGACTATACCTGGATTTCACTATGAAGTTAATTAAAGTATATATAGTTTGCAAAAATGATTCAAATTAATTGGTTTATGTTTGTGAGATCTAGCTTCTGGGGAATCTCATATGTAGTAGGAACCATCACAGAGTAAATCTTATAGCAGAAAAATTGGAAAGGTTTTGAGATACCCTAGAGAAAGAGCAAGCACTTTCTGAATCTCTGCAAATATCAATATTTGATCAAATTAACACTACCTCCTTCCCAGTGTTGGTGTTCACTCACTATATGTGTTTAAAAAAAAGTATGGAAAATTTGTCTAGCATATCAGAAGTTGTAAATGCTATATCTGGTATCCAGAGGCTGGCTATAAAAAGTTCCTTGGGGTCACTCTCCCATTTTTTCGGTTAGCATTTTAAAAATGCAAAGCTGCATACTTTGAAATATATTATTCCAAATTGAGCTCCCTTCCCTTTGCACATATTTTTCCTCCCCTAATTGAAGTCAGCTCTAACCCCAAATTCTAGTATCCAGAAGTATTTTTATTTGTATAATGTTATCTAAAAAATGTGTTTATATTTTCAGAGCTGCAATTCTTAATGGCCATTTCAATACCTAGAGATAAAGAATCCTGCATTTGAAGCCACACATACACTATTGTAATATACTTAGTACTCCAGGTCAAGGATTTATTGGTAAATGGAACTTTTTAGCATAGTCATTATGATTTTTGGTTGCCTAGACATCAGGTAAACATTCAGTACACTAAAGAAACTATCCTGAACACTCCCTCCTACTTCCACCAATTTTTTTCTCACCCCCTTTTCAAAAATTGAAAACTCTATGAGTGTCTTCTTCAGACCATAAAACAGACTTTAGTAACTATTTCTGTAAGTACTAAATGTCTGGTATTTTAAACTTTTATAGAATACATTGTGTTGGACACTGGAATAATACTATTTATTTTCACCTGTGAAAAATGACTTCATTGTACTTGAAACACCTCCTTTGCATTTCTCCATTTGTGCCATTCACTAGTGGAAATAAATTGTATTATACCATGATCTACTGGCTTTTTAAAACTGTGTTAAATATGCACATTTTTGGTATAGCTATTATCATTTGTATGTATATATTGTATATACATATGAGTGTCTTTATGTGTGTATAGATAGATGGATGGATGTAACTCATACTGTACATTTCCATCAGGGCACTTAAAAGTTGTTATTTTTGTTTGGTTTTGTTATTTCAGTCCTCAGTTAAGGCAAGAATGCATGTGTTTCTTAAGAATGAGTTCTCTGCGTTGATATTTGTGAGAAGGTGGTCATTAGATGCAATTTTTTCCTTTTTAATCCCCTCTTAGCACTTGTGTGAATGGAGAGGATGTTATGTGAAATTTGGAATCATAAGTTGCAATGCAGTAAAATGGTGCTGGGGAAGGAGCCAGAGAGTGTTTCTGTGAGTTTGTGTTGTGATCCAATAAAAGATAAGTAATGCAGAGAGAAATGAACCATGGAAAGTAAGAACACTGGTGGTGATTCCTCTGCAAAGATGATTAAAAAAAAAAACAATAAATCACACAATTTTTATGTGCTTTCTGTATGTATTTCTTAGTAGTGATACCATTGATCCTCTTATTTTTACTCCATTAATACTAATAATTACAATTTTGCTGAGGATCAAAACAGCCAAGAAAGGAATTACTGCTAAAGCATCTAAGATTCTCCTAAACTGTAAAATCAATAGGAAATGGCCACTGGGAGAGAAGGATTTGATATTGGGTGAGGGGCTTTCTCCCTTTACCTGCCTCTTCTTGCTTGCTAATAATTTCTTTGTGCACCTTCCACCACTTCTGAGCCACTACTGTTCAAGTATAGTTTTGGCCAACACATTAACTCTTTCCTTGGAGATTTATATGGTCCTGCATTTTGTCGTGTGCTCACAATGTGAAGTGTCTTGTTGTGTATTCAAGTCAAAAAATAATATATTTAAGGTATGTAAGTCTGAATTTCCTATAAGGATGGAAGAAGAGGTTCTCATATCTTAGAAAAGAGCCATCTCTAGGAGCAATGTCAAAACTTGGGCTGGCATCTTTGAGCTTTTTACCAAAATACAGACCATTTTTAAAGAAAAGAAATTCTCTATTTTGTTTTCCCCCATCTAACATGATAAAGCCCCCAACCAGATTGTAGCACTGCCTTTTAAAAGAGATTCACTCACTCTTAGTTTTTAAGAACTGGAAATTTCCCATCCTCAGATTCCTTAAAGGATGAAGAGTTGGCTGTACACCTGAGCAGATTTGCCTCTTGTATGCAAGGACTACTGATTGAAGTCTGTTTTGCTGTGTCTGGTTATGTTATCTGCACTTTTATGAAATCACTACAATAAGTCTACATTGGAAGTTACTATTAATTTGTAAAGAAGTAAGTTTTATTAAACAGTCTAGAAAAAGAAAGTGAAGCTGAGAACTCTTCCTTTATTTGCATTTATATTTTCTGCTGAATTCTGGTAGTCCCCTTTAAGGTCATGTTGACTAATGGTTTCCTCGTTTGTATTCAGATTTCCAAAATTTCACTCGTACAAGGGAAGAGACCCCATTTGGCTTAATGGTAATCTTTAGATCATAAGAAATATAAAAATTAGTATACACCTTATCTGCCTGTTGTGGGTTTCTTAAACTTGCACCTCCTACCCACCCAAAGATAAATATCCTTTAAAGAAAATAAAGGCAGAGAATTAAAACTGGGGAGCCATTTACTATGTCACCATCACTGTTAACTGTTTCCCAGCAATCTAAACTTTTTGAAGTTTCAGAGTTGGTTTTTTTTGTATATATGTCTGTGTGATTGTTTTGTTTTGAAATATACAAGGAATTCTTCTTTAAATAGAGAAAAAGGTTAATCCTCACTGAAACACCAGGATGCCCACTGGATATACTAATCTGAACATCTGTAGGTAGTTTGTTATGAAAAAGTGGATGAGACTTCTGAATGAATGAAAAAGGGTATCTTGATGCCCAGAATTTTCCCCAAAGTACGGGTAATTCAACCTGCACAGTTTTCTTTCACTCATAGCGTTTAGCAGTTGTGAGTGAAAAATCATGTAATTATCTGTAAATATGTAGCTAACAAATTGACCTAGTTTCTGTATTTTTTTTGTTTTTGTACTAAAGTTTATAGGTCTGTGCCAGCTAGAGAGAAGTTGCTGTCATTACCAGTTGTGGTCCTAGCATCTAACCCTGAAACCATCCTAGGTGACATTTTTAGAATTAATATTTAAATGTTGTTAAACAGGGGGAAATGAAGCTTAATCATTGGTCAGGTTTGGAATCTTTTGCAGTGAAATAACTTTATTTAATATAAATGATCACATGTCCTCAATCATGAATGAGGTAGGGAGCCTCTCTCCCCCAGTGGCCATGTTTACAAAAGTGTGTTTTGTCTATAAAGTGCAAGTGTTTTAATGTTTATGTAAATTATGCAGGTGATAACATTATGGTTTGGAACTGTTTATTGGGCTCTTTAACTGAATTTGCAAATGAAATGAACTATGCTTATTGCTGGCACATTGATCCCATTTCTGGAACATTTTTCCTATTTCCAGAGTTACATATGTTCTTTTGTCATTACCCAACTTAACCTCCTTTTCTCTGATATGCCTTGTAGCCAAAGTATTAAAGGCTGGTGAACATAGACGAGGGAAATGCATTTCTTAGAAATCCATGAGCCTTCGATTGTATGCTTTCAGTACTCGCGTTAATATGTTTCTGTGGCAACTCTGAGGTCAGTGGTTTAGAAATGAGATACCAGTGTTAATGACAAGTGTGTACTCTTTGCTTTTGCATGGCTTGGCTTAATATCCAGGGTATATTAGGGCCACTTGAAAGCATGAAGACCAGTTATATAGAGAGAACAGGTTTCAGTGGCACATTTTGCTTTTTCTGAGCCCCAAATACATTGTCTGGGCATGAACATTGTTACCATAAATTGCACATGGTCATGGAGTGAATTATATGACTTTAAAGGATGTAACTGCCCAACATTTGCAGATTCTGGGTGGTCTGTGTGACCATTTGGCACGTATCCGAAAACCCAGGGGCTATTGGAACCCTCCTAATCCCTTTCCTTTGTCATAGACAAGTATATTTATAATTTATCGAGATGTTTGTTGGCTGTCCTGCTGTATTGCCACACAGCTCTCTTTTGGTTCCCATTCCAAATGTGCTACTGTCCTTCTTTGCGTTTCATAATATCAAAGAAACCACCACCCTTCCTAACAGCATTTTATGCCTTTTATTCCACATTAAATGGGAATGGTGCCTACTTAGGAGTGCTCCTCTAATTAATTACATGTGTCCAAGAATAATCCAAGCCAGAGACACAAGGTGGGAAAACATTTCAAAAAAAAAAAAAAAAAGTCCTTTTAAGGCCAGTAATTTATCTGAAAAGGAATTTTATCACATCTTGACACCTTATATATGAGCCTATTAGGAGTTGCAGGTGGCTTCATAGGGTAAAATCCAAGAAAAGAGAAGGATGTGTGGGGTTTCTATTAGAAGATAATTTTGTTCTTATTTTACCTTTCCTTTTACGATCCTTCTCTGCTAGAACAGGTTAATTCTCTAATTTTTTTTTTTTTTTTTTTTTTTTTAGGGAAACTTTTACAAAAGCAATGGTCTGATGTAAATAACATTTTAAAGTATAGTGCACAGAACTTTCCCAGACTGTTCCAATCTGATAATTTGTAAATGCTTTAGAGTTTTTTAAATTAACACTTGTGTTGCTAAATCCTATTTATGTAAGTCTGCTAAAGTTTTTTAACCCACTTAAAACTTAAGACAACCATTTAAATAATGGATGGGTTACTATGAGCAATTTAGCTTTCAGAACCCCTTTGTTTTAGTATACGAAAAAGCCTAATGCGCATTAATGAGGTCGAAGAGACTATGAGAATATGTATAGTGTATATTTTAAAACAGCTTTGCTTGTATCGTGAAGATTTAAAAACAAACTTGAGATTTTTAACGTAACTATTAACACAGTTTTAACATAAGTTATCCCACTGGGTTTAAGAGCATCTTGAATGTATAATCCTTTTTATAACCCAGGTTGGTTTCTACTTTTACCAGTCACCCAAACATATTTATGTTTTTAGTTTTATGTACTCATTTCCCTTTGTTTTCCTCAAACAGCATGATTTTTTTTGCACATGTAGAAATTTTTTAAAAGAAAGAAATTAGTACATCATTTTATCTGGATTTTCTTCACTTCCCTCTTCCTTTCTACTAACCCCTTCCTTAAAGGCCATATCACTCCATTTGCATTATTTGTGCAAATGCCAGGGTTGGTTTTTATTTTTATTTTTGCTATTTACCTAAAAAAAAGAAAATGCGGTGAGCCGAGATCGCCCCATTGCACTCCAGCCTGGGTAACAAGAGCGAAACTCCATCTCAAAAAAAAAAAAAAAAAAAAAAAAAAAAAAAAAAAAAAAGAAAATGCTTCAGTCAATTGCTTTTTTATTTAAAAAAAAAAAAAAAAAAAAAAAAAAAGAAAAAAAGCTGTAACCTTATCATTTCTGAGTTGACCATTGAGAGATGAATGCACACCTGTAATAGCCCAGGACCAGCTCTGGTGGCTAAGGGGAATATGTTAACTAAGCAAGAGGTTCTTTTATAAAAGTGGTATCTGTTATCTACAATCTATTTCAGTTATTCCTACAAGTCAGGGGTCCAGATAAAATGAGGGTTATCAGCTAACTGATATGTTATCATTGAGGTTCATCAATGAATTTGTACATTTCTAGTTCCCTTTNACCATTGAGAGATGAATGCACACCTGTAATAGCCCAGGACCAGCTCTGGTGGCTAAGGGGAATATGTTAACTAAGCAAGAGGTTCTTTTCTAAAAGTGGTATCTATTATCCACAATCTTTTTCAGTTATTCCCACAAGTCAGGGGTCCAGATAAAATGAGGGTTATCAGCTAACTGATATGCTATCATTGAGGTTCATCAATGAATTTGTACATTTCTAGTTCCCTTTGGTGAAGGGAAAAATGATGATTTTGCAAGACCTAGATTTTGGCTTGGTTTCTTGCCTCCTTTTTTGGCAGCCTTCATCTTCTCATCTCCCAAAGCCCTTGAGCCTATAGGGTTTTCATAGTGGACAAAAATCTTGTGGTCTTTTAAAACTGGGACTGATATTTTTTGAGAGATTATCATGTTGAAAGTGTGATGTTCTACCACTTTACCAATAACTAATTTTAAATATACACTGTCCTCTCGATTTTTGGACCAAACAGACGCTCACAGTGGAGGCTTATCAAGGGTTGCATTGGGGAAGAAGCCTCTCCCTCTCTGTCAGCACCAGCTGGTAAAGGTGACTGTACAGATGTGCATTTTCCTTTTGGTATAAATGGTCCACAGCACTAACTGGTAAGGCTTATTGTACAGTATATTGTCAGTATTCTTCTGGTTCAGCATACCTTATAGTTCATATATAACCTGTATTAATTGTATAGATTGTGCATTTAAAGCTGTTACCAAGTTGTCAGAACATAAGAGCGAAAACAAGGTCATATGTAATATTTTGTTTGTAAGTATCCTTTGTATCATAGCAAAGGAAATGTTTAAAAAAAATCAACTGTAATAAAGTAATTTTAGTACACGGTGTCCGTCCAGTTTTTTAAGGCAGTTATATTCCCATGAAGATAAAGTATATTTCTATTGAGTGACTATTGGATAATTACTGAACCTCAGGCAGTGTGCTGGATGTTGGTGTTCCAAAAATGGGATTACCACTCAGATGGTAAGAGTGTACCATCTAATAAAGACATAAGCCCTCGTCTGGGCGCAGTTAATCCCAGCACTTTGGGAGGCTGAGGTGGGTGGATCACCTGAGGTCAGGTGTTCAAGACCAGCCTGGCCACCATGGCAAAACCCTGTCTATTAAAACAAAAAATTAGCCGGGTGTGGTGGCAGGCACCTGTAATCCCAGCTACTTGCAAGGCTGAGGCAGGAGAATCGCTTGAACCCAGGAGGTGGAGGTTGCATGAACAGAGGTTTCAGTGAGCCAAGATCACGCCATTGCACTCCAGTCTGGGCAACAGAGCAAGACTGTCTCAAAAAAAAAAAAAAAGACATAAACCCTCTGGTCTAATAATTGCCTCACCTTCTGTCTGCCCAGAGTGAAGTAGCATATTGTGTTCTGGGTGTGAGATTATTCTAGTTTAAATTCTGACTGCTTGATGCAAGTTCTTAAGTTTTATTTCTACCTTGTAGTCTGCATAACTACAACTTCAATACATGGAGTCATAAATGTAAGCAGTTCTCTTAAGTCTTACACAAAGCTTTAAAAGGTAGTCTTATTTGGGCTTATCTTCCTAGATTTGAAAATCATCACATTTTAGCCCTATAAGGGGGCAGTAAACCATCTAATCAAGTCCTGTTGTTTAAAACACTGTGGTATTTTTTTTTTGGTCAGAAGCTAATTCAGAGGGGGAAACGTTCAGGGGCTGGGATTTATGTTTTTTAATTCAAAAAGAAAATAGGGCCAGGTGTGGTGGCTCATGCCTGTAATCCCAACGCTTTGGGAGGCTCAGGCAGGCAGATCACCTAAGGTCAGGAGTTTGAGATCAGCCAGACCAACATGGTGAAACCCCATCTCTATTAAAAATACAAAAATTAGCCAGGCGTGGTGGTGGTTGCCTGTAATCCCAGCTACTTGGGAGGCAGAGGCAGGAGAATCACTTGAACCTGGGAGGCAGAGGTTGCAGTGATCCAAGGTTGGGCCACTATAGCCTGGGTGACAGAGCAAGACTTCATCTCAAAAAAACAAATAATATGTATTTTTGAGACAGTCTCTGTCACCCAGGCTGCTGGAGTACAGTGGCATGATCTTGGCTTATAACCTCCACCTCCCAGGTTCAGGCAGTTCTTGTGCCTCAGCCTCCGAAGTAGCTGGGATTACAGGTGTGTGCCACCACACCCAGCTAATTTATATAATATATAATTTTATTTTATTTATTTATTTTTGAGATGGAGTCTTGTTCTGTTGCCCAGGCTGGAGTGCCATGACATGATCTTGGCTCATTCCATCCTCTGCCTCCTGGGTTCAAGCTATTCTGCCTCAGCCTCCTAAGTAGCTGGGACTACAGGTGTGTGCCATTGCGCCTGGCTAATTTTTTTGATATTTTTAGTAGAGGTGGGGTTTCACCATGTTGGCCAGGCTGGTCTCAAACTCCTGACCTCGTGATCTACCTGCCTTGGCCTCCTAAAGTGCTGGGATTACAGGCGTATGCCACTGCACGCAGCCTAATTTTTGTATTTTCAGTAGAGATGTGGGTTTCTCCATCTTGGCCAGGCTGGTCTTGAACTCCTGACCTCAGATAATCCACCTGCTTCGGCCTCCCAAAGTGCTGAGATTACAGGCGTGAGCCACCACACCCAGCCAAGAAAATAGTTTTAAGTGCCATTTTTTTTTTTTTAATTCTTTGAAGTGCCTTTTTTTTCACTTTTTTCTCTTTTTTTTGTATTCTTTGAAGTGCCATTTTTAAAAGTATAGATTATCTACCATATTGAAGACTTAGAACTAAGTTGCAGTTTTTTCACTTAGAGTGTTGATATTGAACTATCTTGAAATTAGCATTTACATAGTGTTTGATTTGCTTGCCTCAAATAGCTGTGTGGCAGCGAGGTGCAGTGGCTCATGCCTGCCTTCCTACCACTTTGAGAGGCTGAGATGGAAGGACTGCTTGAGACCAGGAGTTCAAGACCAGCCTAGGGAACATAGTCTACAAAAAACAATAAAAACGTTAGCTGAGCATGGTGGCACATCCCTTGCAGTGCCAAGTATTCCTAGCTACTTGGGAGGCTGAGGTGGGCACATCGCTTGACCCTGGAAGATTGAGACTGCAGTAAGCTGTGATCATGCCACTACATTCCAGCCTGGGTGACAGAGCTAGACTTTGCCTTATAGAGGCAGGATTAGATACCAGGCCTCATCTCCAGTATTTTCAATATACCCACCTGAATTTGGAGTAACTCAATGGGATTAAAAGACAAGATTTCGAGGGGTGAGATGGCTCCCACCTGTAATCCCAGAACTTTGGGAGGCTGAGGTGGGTGAATCGCTTGAGGTCAGGAGTTCAAGCCTGGCCAACATGGTGAAACCCCGTCTCTCCTAAAAATACAGAAATTAGCCAGGTGTGGCGGTGGGTGCCTGTAATCCCAGCTACTCCGGAGGCTGAGGCAGGAGAGGCACTTGAACCTGGGAGGCAGAGGTTACAGTGAGCCGAGATCGTGCCACTGCACTCCAGCCTGGGTGACAAAGCAAGACTCGGTCTCAAAAGAAAAAAAAAACCCTGTCTCCCTGTCTCTACAAAAATACACAAATTAGCTGGGTGTGGTGGTGCTTGCCTAT